CTGTTCCCAGGACTGAGAAGATGACACCTGTTGCAGTCTCTTCACCGGCATTGGAGCTTTATTCCAGATTTCCGTGACCTGCCTTCTCCACAGTTTCTCCTGCTCGTGCCTGGACTGCAGGTGATGGCATGGGCCAGGTGCCAGGTGGTGAGGGGCAGCTGTTCTCTACTGCCTCCTCTCAAGAGAGCCCCAAGAATGGCAGACAATCCTGCATGCCCGGGTCACCAATCTCAGGATAGTGGTGCATTGCAGTTACCTCTGGAGGAGAGCTCCAGGTGCATGAACCTGAGTCTCCCCTCAGAGAGACTTTCATTTACCCACCGGCACATACCCACTCATGCAGAGAATCTTTATGGATACTCGCGTTTGTGGAGACTCTCACAGTCCGACCTGTTCCGTTGCCATCTTGCTGGAAAGCCCTATTTATTCTTATATATTTAAACATCAGTCACCTTCAAAGTACTCTCCATCTGATGCGATACACCTATAATGATGCTTTTTTCACTGCTCAAAACAGTTTTTGAACTTGTCAGTTTTGATGCCTTTTAGTGCTTTTGTCATTTTTGTTTCATCTCTTCCACATCGGCAAAACATTATCTAGGGAAACAAAAAAGTCTCTCAGGGCGAGATTGGGTGAATAGGAAGGGGGGACATGGGGCTCTTGCAGTTTTTTTGGTTAAAAACTGTTGAACACTGTGATGTGAGCAGGTGTGTGCATAAATCACCCATCATGAAATAGGCAAATATGTTGAAAGAATCTAAAAAAAAAAAATTACTGAAGCTGAACACAACCTCTCACAACAATACTAGCTAGTACACTGATGCTCATGGGTTCTTAGAACACTTACCTCGCTGGCGAAGCATGTACTACAATGGGCCTGCCCTCCAAACAATAATTTTGGGTTTTTGGGTTCCCCCTCATCAGAAATTGTATGCAAGTAATGTTTGGACTCCTAGTGAGCCCTCACCCCACCGGTAGTGGACATGGTACCCAATGGGTGATTGTGTGTCCCTTATCCCCCCTCCTTTCCTCTCTCTGTCTTTTAGCACTGCCCAGTGTTTGTTGCTCCCACTTTTGTGCTTGCATGCCAATGTTTAGGGTCCACTTATGAGTGGTATTCATGTGGTATTCAGTTTTTTTCTTCTGTGATAGTTCACTCAGAATGGTGGTCTCTGGTTGCATTCATGTTGCTGCAGAGAACATAATTTCATTCCTCATTATGGCTGCATAGTATTCTATGCTTTATTTGTTCATGTCATCTTGTTCTTGCTTTGTGAAAGCCATATCTTTTAAAATATCTTTAAGATAATGATTAGAATTAGAAAGCAAAGTCAACCCCCTTTCCCTACCTGTCTTCAGCATTATCTCTTCCCATTGGATCCATCTTTTTTGTGTTGTTGGTTTTTCTCAGATATCCAGTTACTCATGACTATTAGTTTGTATTTACAAAATAAGAATAAAATAGTCTAGTGCAGTTGTGAAGGTCTTTTTCTCTGACAGGCCTCTCCTTTAAACAGGAGGACTGGTGAGTAGCCTGCTGACAGAAAGACTTTCCTGTGGGTTAGTCAGGCAGCCTGGCAAATCTCCATAACTGACTCTATCAGGCAGGTTTTCCTAGGGACCGAGTCTGCTGTAGCTCCTGTGGAGGGTCAGAGTTGCTTCTCTCTCAGGCCTGAACACACACCCTTGGTTTCCTTCTCTGGTGTGTCGCCTTCTCTTTTGAGTGGGCAAAGGAGTGGTTGTGGGAGGGCCCAACGGCTCAATTATGATTTAATTAGTCTGATGGTGTTCTAGGGATAAGGTGATGATATAATTTATTATTCAACTGAGACACTTTGAGAGTGAAAGGGGACCATATTAATTATTTTGCCAAGATAATAGACATAAACTGGAATGGTCACCCAGTTTGTAACACACTCTCAACCTATTTACTGACTCTGAATTTAGAGCTGCTTTGGGGGCGCCACTGAGGAGATCACTCTTCTAATTCTTTTAGCTGAGTTATTCCTGTCTAATTTTTTTCCAGTCATAATGATCCCATCTGCTTTCTATTTTATTTTCTAGGTTTTCTTCAAAATTTATGAACCTCTGCTAGCCACTACTCTTGTTTTCCAGCACTATTATGCTTTTATTCTTTTTAAAAACATATTTTCTGTAATTTCAGTGGGACTTGAGAAGGAAAGGAGGTCAAAGGTGTACTTAGTTTGCCATCTTAAACTGAAGGTCTATTACCTCTGTCACTCCACTTTAAGCATGCTGACTTACTATGTTTTATACATCCTTTTGTACCACTTTACTCTTTTTTGGAACTGGACAAATTCAGTGATAATTGTGCAGGAGTGAACTTACACTGGTAGATCATAAACCCCTTGATGACTACTTTCTCTTTATTACTCTAATATCTGGAAGGATCCTATGATGCCTATGAAATATTGGTCATTAGGTCACTGAACCTCTGAATCATTCTCAACGGGAATTCTTACGGGGGATTTGTTTTCTGCTTCCTATTTTTGCAGGATGTGAATTCTTGCCAAGAGAGGTTTATAGCCCCTCATACACACACTGTGGTAGCATGTGAAAGAAAGCTAATTCCTGCAAAGATCATGCAGGCCTAGCATAGTTAAGTTAAAGATAGAAAACCATAGGGATTTAAAATCAAAACCAGAATTTTGCAAAGCTTAGTGAAAGAATGGTAAACCTGCCAGAATTAGTCCATGAAGACTCAGTTTTGAAAGATGATGATTACTGAAAGTACAGAAGCAAAGATTAAGACTTAATAAGGATTTCGAAGCAAAAAGAGGACTTCCTGGCTCTAATTAGGTTTCATAACACAAGAGCACTCTGTAAATCCAGAAATGGATCCGAATTGACCTGCCATACAAATTATTTGGCTGCTTTGGGAAAAGGTTAGTCCCAGTCCTTGTGGAGTGTGGTTACATGGAGAACACTGGACAGGATGGGTCCTGTGTGACTCATACAGTCAAGATTCTGGTTTGAAAAAAAATCAGAATTAAGTACAGAAGTATAGAATTCTGCTCTTGAATGTGTTTCATCAAAATGTGAAATTTAAAAAGGATCATGATCTGAATGCATACAGCCTAAATAAAGCCAATTAATAGATAAATTAGTATAACTGACTTTTTATTTATGGGCTAAAGTTAATCTATGAATTACATGCAGCATGCCAGTGGGCCAGGTTAACCTTTTGTCATGCAGAAAGAATCCCCCACCCCTCAATAATATTCACCATTTTTCTGTCAGCAGTTTTATTACTCCTAGGTTAAGCTAGGGCTATATAAATAAATTATCTAGCTTTTTTAAGCTTTTAAGGCTCCTTACACTTCAGGGTTCCATTTTGGGTTTTGATATTTTTGGCCTTTGTAAGGAAATCAGCAGGGCAGAGAAGACCGGTGCTTTTATAGCTAGAGTTTGAAACATTTCTTTGTGGTGGGTGGGTGGTAGAGAGGTTACTTTCTGGTGGGTCTGGATTTCAAAGTTAATACATGATAGAAGCAGGCTCACTCAAGTGTTGTCAGTCCCATATTGCTCTTATCAGCAATTAGTTGAGCCAGACTGGAAAACAGGAACAATCACAAGGAACTGATTTTATTAGACAGGCAAGAAGGAAAACTTGTAGGTGGATACTGAGCAGACAAAATACTTTGCTAATGGTAGAGAACCAACTGTAACTAAAGACATGGTGTCATTTGCCAGAAGCAGTCCTCAGAGGTAGCTGTCAGATGTGGGAGTTGAACCAGAGGGGATGCAGAGACAGGTATATTCCATCTGAACTTTTAAGAAGAATTAGTCAATTCTTACAATTCATGGTGCCTGGAGTATAGGGAGTAGGTGCCAAAATTCATTCTTTTCTTTCTTCTTTCTCTCTTTATCTCCCTCATATCTCTCTTCTCCCTTTTACCTTCAGCTCTTCTTCTCTTCACTTTCTTTGTGCTTTCCCTCCTCCACCCCTAATGTGTGCTTTCAAGTTACTTTCCATCATCCTTTCTTCTTTATCTCTGTGGTTCTAAGTGCCTTCTCTAAACTCACAGTCTTACCCCACTTCCTATACTTTTTGCCACCTGTCACCCAGTTGGAGAACTGTGGGATTAAGGGAATCCCCAGTGAGATGGTCAAGTGACTTACCTTGAGAGTTCAAAGTTGACACCTACTGGTTACTTTGCTGATTTTTCTCCTCATAGCTTTTGTTGTTTCATCATAAACCTTTGGTCAACCCTAGTAGTAACCCTCCAGTGAACATGGAGCTAGAACTTGCTACCATCACTACAAAACATGTTCTGTTGGTGTTTCTGGGGTGCTGTCTTTTCTTGTCCTTTGCAAATGTTTGTTCTTCATTGTCATAACATTTGGATTTATTGTGCTTTTATATTGTTATTTGCACTGGTGTTTGCATTTGCTTTCAGAAGAGATTTTATCTGATCACTTACAGCTAAGGGCAGGTCTTAGTCTCCTGATCATGTGACATTCTTCTTGATATACGTGGGTTGCTTACATGTCACCTTTGGTTCTCTGACCATAATGACATTGAGTTCACTGGCCACTTCTATATGGGTTTATTTGGCTATGTTATTTGACTATATGGTTTTATTTGGCTATGTTACAATTTGTGATTTTTTTTTAGGAAAAAAAATTCTTCCTAGGATACATTTGACTTTGAGTGACTCCTCTTAGGAGCTACTAAAGTTAAGAGAAAGGGTCTTTGCAGAACTGAAGGGACATAGAAGTTGGAGACACATAATGTTTTGCTTTATGGCTGGCATCAGAAGGCTGATGAGAAACACTTCAGTTTTCCATTTTGGGACTTTCCAACACATGTTCCAGTATTTAGGCTGGAACATGCCAGTGTCCTTCAAATTTCAAAGGAAAGAATTCTTGCAACCTTGACAACAATCAGAGTAACCTTAGTGATGTTATTTTAATGAGTTATATGTTTCTGTGGGTCTAAAATATAATTTAATACCTGCTTTCTCTTTCTCTTTAGAAGTGGAACGGATAGTGAAAGCCAATGACCGTGAATATAATGAAAAGTTCCAGTATGCAGTGAGTAAAACATATATAGCACCTACCTGCTGGGGTAGGTCTTACCTTAAGGACAGTGGGATTCATGTCTTCTTGAACTTTATGATCTCACTAAAAACGGTCTTTGTTGACCCATTTTAATAGCAAGGTACCATACATTTCCATAAATACAGATCTTGGTAACATTTACATACTTATTTCTTTCTGGCACCAAGTTTGTATTTGGTATGCTTATTGGCGTGGGAAGATGATATCTTTTTCCTCAAGAATTGATGCTTAATTCATTTTGTTACACATTTGGATAGTAGAATACCCAAGGAATAATATGAAAATAGACCTTTTTGGTAGTACTTGTTGATATAAATGGTGGTAGTAGCTAATGGTTGATGAGTAGCATTTGGGGGATTTTCTCTAAGCAACTCAGGCCGAATATAGAAAAGTGTATGTAAAAGAAAGTTCCCAGGTCCTGAAAGTATCTACAAAGAGAGTGGTGAGAATGACTGACTAGTTTAAATGTGTGGTCTTTGAGTGTGTACTGAACTATTTTTTGTTTGTTTTTGAGTTGGGGTCTCACTCTGTCGCCCAGGCTGGAGTGCAGTGGCGTGCTCACAGCCACTCCAGTGTCGACCAACTGGGCTCCGGCGATCCTTCTGCCTCAGCCTTCCAAGTAGCCTGAACTACCGGCGCATGCTGCCGTGCCTGGCTAATTTTCGACTTATTGTAGAGATGAAGTCTCGCCAAGTTGCCTGGGCTGGCTTCGAACCTGTGGGCTCAGGTAATCCACTCATCTCGACCTCCCAAAGTGCTGGGATTACAGGATGAACCACCAGGCCCGGCCTATTTTTTTAAATGAGGGTTTTCTTCATTTATATAAGAAGTTTTGCTGACGGGGCGCGGTGGCACAAGCCTGTAATCCCAACACTTTGGGTGGCCAAGGCGAGAGGATTGCCTGAGCCCAGTGGCTTGAGACCAGCCCAGGGCAACTTGGTGAGACCTCGTCTCTACAACACATCAAAAAATTAGCCTGGTGTGGTAGCGCGTGCCTGTAGTTCCAGCTACTTGGAAGGCTGAGGTGGAAATGATTGCCTGAGCCCAGCAGGTCAAAGCTGTGGTGGCTGTAAGCAAGGCTGTGGTGGCTGTAAGCATGCCACTGCGCTCCAGTCTGGGCAACAGAGTGAGACTCTGACTCAAAAAAAAAGTTTTATTGAGAGTCTACTAAGTGACTGGCACTATCTTGGGTTACACTGAGGAATAACTTCATGAATAATATCACAGGCCCCCATAAAGATCTTATCTTTTCATGACTCAACCCAATCTGCTAGATGGAATCTTTTATAAGCTCTAAAATAAGTAACTGGTAGAATCCTTATAAAGGTGACATGTGGCCTATAAAAACTGCTATACGATTGAGTGTACCCATAGTTAATGAAAGAAAGTCTCAACCCAAAGAGGAGTTCAATGGCCATTAAAGCATAGAAATATGGCAAACTTTGGCAGTGTCCATTAGGGTACCAGACAGAGGAGAGAGAATTTTGTTCCTATTGGCAGGTCTTTCCTGTATATGGAAATAGATGCGTTGGTCGGTTATAGCTTGATACTATTAATATTCAGCAGAGGTTGCTAACTCCTCTTTTCTCATGTGGTGCTTGTCATATAAACTTATAATTTTAATTTGATTTTCAATGTAGGTTTTCCTATAGGGATTCAAGTATGCTATCTGTATGACAGGTTTCTCATTTTAAAACAATATTGACCCTGATTTTATTCCTCAGTCTTAAAGCTTGGTGAAAGTAAGTCTGCTCTTGAGAGAAGGAATTCCTCTCAGGAGGCTAATGAACATGTTTCCTAGTTTGGGAGAGAGAGGGACTGTAATACCCCAAGGTGATAAATGTCACTATGTGTGGCCTCCTGACTTGTGGACATTCAATCCCTCTGTTTAACACCAGACTTGGCCCCAGGCCTTTCTACCCATTCTACAGCCAGTTCTTTAACCATAAAAGATGACCCTTGAAAGCCTTGACCACCAAATCCCAAATTTAAGGACTAGATATGCATATCTTTTAAGACCTTTGTGGGGCGGGAGACCAGTAATAGCCGATCTGCTATGGGGGTAATTATGCATATAAGTGCTTGGCTGCATTTACTTGTTTTCCAGTGTATAACATGTATTTTCATTCTGTAAGTAGTAACTCTAAAAGGAAAGCATTATTTTGTTTGTGTTTTATAAGACGTTGCAGTTTTTTACTATTTGTAGTTATTTTTACTTAATTTATGAGATATTTCAAACTTACTGAGAGGCATGGGAAATATGAAATACGCCATGTGCCCACTGCCCAGATTAAATGGATGTTAACAATTTGCCATGATTGCTTCAGATCTTTCATTTAAAAGTAATGATATGCTAATGACATAGAGATGTTTATCTCTTGAGCTTTCACGATGTTGAACAAAAGCTGCTGCTGTTTTCTGTTGGGTTTCCTAATGATGACAAGGTGGTAGAACAGTATCCCATAGCCACAGCAGATTGAATAAGGCATCTCCATCTCTGAGTTGAAACACACCAAGGAAAAGACAAAATCCATTATGAACTGGCAAAACCAACAACGACAACAAAAGTTGAGAAAGGTGCTTCAGAGCAGAAGAGGGCACCGATATTCCAGGAAAAATGACCACTATTGTGGCTCAAAGGGAATGAGCACCTGCCTGGCTCCTAAAAAGAACATGGAACCCCACTAGACCTGGCTGTGTTGCTTTGATTTGGAAACTCCCAACAGGATGACTGGCCATGCAGTGAGCTGTGGGGCCTCTTAGCCTCTGTCTGTTCAGCTATAAATTGATGATAAAATCAAAGTACCTATTTCATATAGTTATTGTTAGCAGTAGAGTAAAATAACACATGACAACCCTATGAGCTTGTCTATGTAGAGCTGGGATGTGAATCTGTGACTACAGGTTTTAAATAAAAAAAAAAAATCACTCCTAAATGGGATATCCTTTAAAGAAAGGCAGCAGTCTGGGAACTTTTCCTCGGTCTTGCTCAGCTTTAAAGGATATCACCCGGAATGGAGGTGGATTTGAAAAGACCCCAGTAAATCCCAGGGATAGTGCTCATAATAATTGAAGAAGTAATTGTCCTACCAAAAGACTGTAAAGGAAATGAAAGTAAACTAGACTTATCTAAAAAAGATGACAGAAGAAATAGTGAAGTCTCCTGAAATGCAGTGGAGTGTTTTGGGGGTAAGATAGACCATAGCTTGAGTCCTTTCTCTCTCTCTCTTATTGCTACCCTGTTTTATTGATCCATTTACTTCTCCAAGCATCAGTTATTTTACTTGTGAAATGGGGGAATTTTTCTCACAGGGTTATTTACTAAAGGATTAAATTGAATAATTTATATGACATATTTGATATTAGTAACACTAACTAAATTTATTAGGTACCTACTATGGTATCAGGCTCCACACTAAACCTTACTTTGTAAGGATTTTTCTCCTAAGTCTGATGTGGTTGTTGGCAAGTACCCACGATAAATTTTAGATTTCCTTGAAAGCACAGGATAAAGTAAGATATGAGTAACAGTGATGTTAAGAAGAAACCGAGAAATTGGCTAAACTTGTAAACTCTTTGCAGCAGATATTATGCCAGAAAATGAGCATAATGTGTTACTGAAAGAAGTTGCTAATAAGTGATGTAGATGATGCAATAGTAGAGAAAGCAACACACCTAAAACAAGAGGACTAACAGTGTAAATGATGGTGGTAGTAGAGACTTTCTTCCCAGACAAGTTGTATTTAAATGATAATAGTTCAAGGAGATAGGTATTGAATAATGGCTCTCATTCATACAGGTGGGAATCCAGCTGTGTAGCAGGTACTTTGTACATTTTCTATCTTCCACACAACCCAGCAAGAAGAAGGACATGGGGCCCCATTTAGTAACTTGGCTAAGTTCCACAGCTAAAAGGTGGCAAAAAGGGAATTCCACTTCAGATCAGCCAGATTCCAAAGCCTATATGTTTTTTCATGATTACATGCTGCTCTTTTGACAAGCAAACAATAAAAACAAAACAAAAAAACCCTCAACTAACCAACCAACCAAACAAAGTTTAATCTCTTCCCCTTCTCTTACATACCCACTGGTGAAAATTTTATACTCTAAAGTATAAAAGGATAGATAAAGGAAGTACAAAATTTTACAATGTAAGGATAAGATTGACTTTAAATTTTACCCTTAGCTTTTGAAGATGAGAATTTGGGAGAAAAATTTACACAAAACTCAGTCAGATAAATGGTGCAATTCCATGCACATTAAGCCTGGTCAAGCAAACTTTTCTCTTTGAAGGCTGAAGGAAGATATTTCAATGCCTAGAGAACCTTCATTTGCCAACAAATCCAAGCTGCAAAGCACATTGTAGGACACAGTACAGGCTCAAAAATGATCGAAAGCACTTTTGAGAAATACGGGGCTTAGAACATAAACAAATACAAAGTTAATGATTCTAAGTAAAATTAATTGGTATATTAGACATGGTACTGTGAAAACTGGAAGATGGGAAACATAAAATTACCAGAGGGATTTAGACTGCCAAGACATGTAAAACAAAATGGGATTATGGAGTGGAGGAGAGTGAGCCAAGTGGTCGAATTATTATTCTCATTTAAAGGGTGTTCAATGTTTTCTTGGTTAATAATAGGAATGAATAATAGAAGTAATGAAAACAGTTGTATAAAATATGTTACTGTTAAAAATGTTAGAAAAACTGTGAACATGAGCCAAACAGCCAGACTCATTATCCCTGTTAAAGGGAGTTCAAAGTGACTAGAAGGAGTGAAAACAGTTGTAGTTATATTAAAATGCATTGATGTCAAATGACGGTAGAGAAAGTGTGTGCTTAATTGTGACTATTTTCTGATCTCATTTAAAAATAAAGAAATGACGATGGAAAACATTGATTCTCACCGGTTCATGTTCTATTTCTCCCTTTCACATAGGCTCAGGCACAATCTATCCCGTTCACTTCT